GGAGGGGCGGGTGGAGGGGAAACGGTTCGGTTCGGTGCCACCAAACAAGCGCGGTTCGGTACGGTACCGGTACGGTTCGGTACGATACTGCAGGAAAGTATTGTTGAAACGCCCATGGGAATCCAACTCTGCGCGCATGCCATGGGGCTGAGCTCTCAGAGAATGCTGGCAGGATGTCATTGGTGTGGCGAAGACCGGCAGCGGGAAGACACTAGGATATCTCCTGCCAGGATACATCAAGGCTACTGGGCGTCACGTACATGTGCACCATTTCAACACTTCATACGTGCTCTGCTACATGCGTGCGATTCTGCCGACGGCACCCAACCCTGGAAAGTTTCAGGTGAAGCGCTTTGAAGGCAAAGGCTTCGAGCGGTCAAATGGCCCCGGCATGCTGATTATGGCACCTACGCGCGAACTGTGCCAACAGCTCCGCGTCCTGCACTGGTGCAGCTATCATGGACAAATATGGTAATAGTATGCAACAGTAAGTGCTTAACAATTGGGGATTTTCCCCAATTGCTTAATACCATGGTAGCAGTATAGCAACAGAAAGACCCAGTATCACTGGAGCTAAGGATTTACGAGGAGTCCGAACGATTCGGCAAGCCTGCACAAATAGATACTGCTTGTGTCGCTCGCCTGGCCTGACAGTAACCGCTGTCGACTCCCGACCCTTTTGGGATTATGTAGGCCTTATATGGGGGTATATTGGGGTTATAGGGATTATATAGGGTATAGTATATTGGAGTTATGTTTTTGTAAGGGGTTATAGGGGATACAAAGGGTATAGAGGTTAGGATTTAGATATGGTCCAAGTAGCACGGCCATGATTGCAAACGTCTCCCTCACTAACTGCATCTGACAGCTTCAGCAGCAGCGGCAGGTATACGGTGGTGCCCCGAAAGGACCCGAGGGGCGAGGGTGAGAGAGGGTTGCAGGTCTTTCTTTTGATGCCAAAGGTTGTCCCTTCTTCCGGCTTAATGCTGCTGGTGTTTATTTTTGCTGAATGTGGTTTACGATCATGAGGTTTGCAGGCGTGGCTGGCTTATGCTGCAGTTTCAGCGCTTATGCTGAGCGTTGTTTCCTTGTGCGTGGGGGTTTGGGGCTTGCTTCCATTTTGCTGAGATTGTTTTTCCACCACCCAGCCACCCCGCTGCCGCTGCGGAAAGCATGGTATCAATCCTGATTATTACAACACTGCAACATGGTAAGCTACGGGCAGTAGTGAGTAAGAGAGAAGAAGTTATGGGGATGAAGGGGGCGACGTGTTGGTTTAACAATTCGGGTTGAAGGTCCTCTTGGAATTAGCCCTTTTACTTTAAAGGGCCGATGCCCGTTGAATCAGGGTTGGCAACTGTAGGATGACCACATTTCGAACTAGCGGCATAATTTGAGCAACGGTCAGCAGAAATTTGCGCACAGGCCCCCGAAGAAACGGGAACCTTCCCTGGCATTAAATCAAGCGCCAAGCATGCGTAAAGTGCCAACATGCGGCCTAGTCTTGAGACATTTGTTGCTGGTGACCACTAGCTAGATTTTGCATATGCGAGGGCTGTGACCGCTGTGAAAGGACAACAGGTCCGTCAGTTGCGAAACTATCCGCATTGCGTGGTGGCGACACCTGGGCGCCTGAATGACTTTCTTGGAAGCCGGAAGGGGTATCAACAGCACACTTGGCTTTTCATGCAGCAGCTCGGCATCCAGGCTAGAGTGCATACTTTGCTTGTTCAGGCCGAGAGCTGAATATCAACCAGTGCAACTATCTCGTCCTGGACGAGGCGGGCAGGTCTTCTTAATACACATGCATCGGTCAACGGTGCACTTGATCTTCAGGCGGACCGCATGCTCGACATGGGCTTCGAGCCACAGATCAAGGAGCTCATCAATTACTTGCCGAGTGATAGACAGACTGCCTTGTACACTGCTGCTCAGCAAGAATCCTTCATGACAGATTCTGTTGGTGCCGAGCATGTAGATTTGGTGCTGCAGATTGCATGATGTTTTTCTACCAGTTCAAGCTGAGGCCACATGGCCAAGGGAAGTCAGGGATATTGCTTCAAGATTGACGCACGACCCGACTCACATCCAAGTTGGCCACTGGGCAAGAATTTGGCGGGATGGGCTCAACTGGGATGCAGAGCCCTCGGGTAACAGCATGAATTTCGCCTATAGGCAGTCTACTGACAGCAACAAAGCCGCTCCAGTGCAGATTGCTTTTGAGAGCTGACTGGCCTGCCGAGTAGCCTGCGGTGCTCCGAAGGTTCAGAGGACTCAGCTGCAGCGAATGCGGACATCACCCAACACATCGTCAGAGTGTACAACGAGAAGGACAAGATGCACCCGCGCATGCATCTAATACAACTTCTGGTCATGGGACATGCTCGAGCCTTGCAGAGTAAGAGTCTGCTATGAATTTGCCCAGGCGATTCCTTGAGGGTACAATCTTCCCAGAGCTGCAGCGAACAGGCTCCAAATGTCGCTGATAGCTAATGGGATGGAGCGCATGTGCCAAAGACACGGACGTTGCAAAGGGTTTTTGGAGTGCTTGCTTGCGTTCGTAATTCCATCTGCCATTGACTGACATCACTCATGTGGGCAGCATCCACCTCTTCAAGGTGCCTATTCTGCTTGCCTCATATAGGGATAGTACCCCAATAATGGAGAATCAAATGGAAAAGAAAATGGAAAATGAAATGGAAACCCAAGGTCATAACCCCAATATATGCACTATATAATCCCTATAGACCCCAGTAGTTTCCATTTTCTTTTCCATTATCCCTATAGAACCCCTCTATAAACCCTCTTAAGAGCGAAGCAGACGCGTCCCATGTTCCAGGGGGCTCCGGCCTCATCTTCGTGAAGACGAAGCGCGCAGCTTCCGGTTTGTACCGCTCCTCGGCAGCTCTACCGTGCTTGGATTTGTATGGTAGTTTCCATTTCATTTTCCATTTGTGCTTCCACTTGATTCTCCATTATCCCTCTAACCCGTATATCGCCCCTATAATCTTGAAAGATGTTGAAAGCGTTTTCATAGATGCGCTGCCTGCTGCTCAGAAGAGCTATCGCGCGTCGGGGCGCCGATCGTCTGTCTGCACGGCGACATGGACCCGGGTGCAAGCCAAGGGTTGGGGCGATCAAAGCAGAGTCATGCACGCCAAGCACTGCAACTTACTGGCTCTTAGTTACTGGGTCTTAGTAGGGAATAGGGGAATGTAACCCGTATATAATCCCTATATGATATGATAGATATCACATATTCCCATCTTCCCTCCTAAGAACCAGCAGAAGGCAAGGCAAGAAGCCCTGTGAGGACCAAAACGCGCGAGACCACGCTCTTGCAGCCTTCAAGAACGGCATGGCCAAGGAGCAACTTTTGGGGGACAAAGGGTAGCTTCCCTAAATAAGGGGACCCCAATATAGACCCTAAAATACTATAATCCTTATTTAAGGGCTGACGCCGTGCCGCCGACCCCCAAGAAAAGGGGGCGGCGACGTCTGACGGCACTGGAGGTGCTTCAGGCAAAGAGTGCTTTTTGCTGGTCCCAGAGGATTTTCTTGAGGCTGGCATGTTCCTTGGAAAGATTTGAGGGCAGCGCAGAAGCAACGAAGGGTGCAC